AGACAGACAGACAGACAGACAGACAGACAGACAGAAATTGAGATAAGGTTTGATTCGGTTTCTCTGACCTATGAAATGTAAAAATAACCAAAAAGTTCATTATTCTAAGCAATGTACAGACAAAACTCTAATTTTATTTATATAGATTAAAAAATAAGGTGTGATTATTTGTTTGTATTACTGTATTCTGTTTTATTGTTTATTTCAGCCTAACTTAACCAATCAATAGTTTTATTAATACTTATGAAGTCAAACGGGGTGAAGCCCGTGAGTAACAGCTAGTTTAAGATATAGTCCGGTAATTAAAGAGAAAATATAGTGGAGGGCGTAGAGGCTCAACAAAATTGTTTCAAATGGTTTCTCAACGGATTTCATTACTTTTATACCATCACACAACACAAAAAAAGTCTACCGAAATCTGATTTGGGGAAGTGGCTGTTATTAGGGTAGGCCTATTTAAATTAAAATAAGTGCTCCCAGAAAAATATGTTAGAAACATTATTGCTATAAATAGGGTGTAGTATGTGGTTTTAATGTTTACAAGGGTGGGGAAACTCAATATGCAACTTAAAATGTTATTTGACCTCATTTTACACCACAAAATGGCCTCCAAAATACAATTCATGAAGGAGAAACTTTAAAAACGTACCTTTAGATATAGGGTGTTTTATATCGAGCCATAGACTAAATAATTAAATATAGACCGTCAGCTGTGCTGCGGTTACCATAGGTTCTGGCGCAAACCGCTGGGAGCGCCATGTAGTTACGGCGACGCGCTACGTAACTACACGGTGCTACCAGTGGTGTGCGCCAGAACCTATGCCAACCATGGTAACCGCAGCACGGCTGACAGTCTATATTTAATTCTTTTTGTCTATGATAGAATTCAATGTTTACAATGTTTACGTACCTTCCTATACACTACACCAAAGTCAAAGTCAAAGTCAAAGATTTTTATTGTCTTTAAACACATGTGTGCAATTGACAAAGTCACAAGCATATAATGTATGTAAATAGCCTATTCTAAGTAAAAGGTACATTGAAAAATAGAATATTAATTTATAGATAAAAACAATAACAAAATATAAAAACACCAGGGAATGACATAACAAACAATTAATATAAAATCTAAACAATTATCCAATTTAAATTCTTAAAGTACTAATGTCACAAGCTAAAAATTCATCAACAGTATAAAAAATATGTTCTCTTAACCATATTTTAATCTTATTTTCAAACTGTTTTGAAGTTATATTCCACATGTTTTCTGGCAGTTTATTAAATAATTTAATTTTCATATAAACATGACTGTTTCTTGTTTTTTCCAACCGTACAGAGATTAAGTTAAGAAGATAGTTTTTCCTCGTTTGATAGCCATGTATTTCTTTTCTAACAGACAATTTACAAATAGAATTCTTAACATCCATCAGGCAGCAATATATGTACAAATTTGGAAGAGTCATTATTTTAAGCTCTTTGAATAAAGGAACACATGACTCCCTATCTGAAACATTTGTAATGACTCTTACAGCTCTTTTTTGCCACTTAAAAGCCTCTAATGCACTACTCGAGTTGCCCCATAAAGTTATGCCATACTTTAAGTGAGAATGAAAAAAAGCATAATAGGCAGTTATCAGCATGTTTTTGGTTACACAATCTTTCAACTTTCTAAGAAGGTGAATTACTCTAGACAGTTTTCTACACAACTGCTCGACATGAGTTTCCCAACTTAACCTACTATCAAGATAAATACCTAACAACTTAACAGGTTTCACATCTTTATAAATAGAAAAGTCCAAAGAAAAGATAATTTGTTCAGTCTTTTTCTCATTAACAATTAAAAGATTAGAATGAAACCATTCCATTGCTATTTCTAAGGCTTGGTTCTCAGTTCTTATTAGATCATCTAGGTGTTTTTTACTGTTAAGAAGTGTGGTATCATCTGCATATAACACTGTGGCACAAGGAATATTTGAAGCAAAATCGTTCACAGCAATAATAAATAAAAGAGGTCCAAGGACTGATCCCTGAGGCACACCCATTAATATTGTTCTAAAGCCAGACTTATCACTGCCCTGTACCACCATTTGTTCTCTACCACTCAAGTATGATTTAAATAAATTAAGTTCTTTACCTCTGATACCATAGTGAAACAGTTTGTCTAGCAGTAGCTCATGATTCATGCAATCAAAAGCTTTAGTAAGATCTATGAGTAAGGCAGATGATAACAGCTTATTTTCTAAGTTTTCTAACACTGTTTCTATCACATTCTCTACTGCTTTTACTGTATTTCTACCTTGCATGAAACCATACTGTTCCTCACAAAACAAATTATTAGTCACAAAAAATGTATCAAGTTGAGCCTTAATACAGGATTCAAAAACTTTACTTATTATAGGAACCAGAGATATTGGTCGGTAACTAGATGGGCTCAACTTTTCACCCTTTTTATAGACTGGTATCACTTTTGTTACTTTTAGTGCTTGCGGATATATACCCTGTTCCAAGATCATATTAAACAGTAAAGTCAACGGTGTCACTATCACCTGACATATTTCCTTTAGAACTCTATTTGATAAACCATAGTAATCTTCACTACATGATGAACTTAAGCTAGTAACAACTTTAGTCACATCTTTACCTTCAATTGTTTGCCAAACCAGATATTTATTCAAATCTTTTTTTCTTTCAAGGACAAAATTATTTACTAATTCTACTGCCTTGTCATGGGATTTATTCTTATCACTAACAACATTTATACTACCGGTACTTAAAATATTAACAAAATAGTCATTAAAAGTATCTGAATCAATTAATAAATTTTCTTGCTTAGTGACATTACAATTTGACTCAGTTTTTATTAAAGCCCACGCAGCTTTACATTTATTTGAGGAATTTAAAATGTACTTTTCATTTGCAACTTTTTTGCAATAGTTAACTTTGTGTTTGTACCTTTTTTTTACATCTATATATTCTTGTTTGAAGATATTTTCATTTTCTGTGCCCAAGCTATTTTTATATCTATCATAAAAAGCATTTACATACACTTTAAAGCTCTTCAATTCTGGTGTATACCATTTTAAGTCAGGCTTTTTTCTAGTTTTCACCTTAACTTCCTTAACTCTACAGCATTCATTATATGAATTTGTCAACAATAAATTAAAATGATTGAAAGCTATATTTACATCTCTTATACTACATAACTGCGTCCAGTCAATTTGGGACAATTTACTTTTTAAATTGAAAAGTGCTTCAGGTGTCAGTTCTCTGACTTTCTTAGTCAAAACATTGTTAGGCATCACACTTTCCACAGAAATTTCTTTAAATTGAGCATATACCCCCGCATGATCTGATAAATGAGGTTCTATTACACAACAAATTGTTTTCTTTCTATTAAAATTACTTACAATATTATCTATGCATTTCCCCCCCCCCTAGTCGGTTCCTCATTCAACCAATACATGTCAAAGGATCGCAATAAATTCAAAAATGATTCTCTTTCATGTGATTTTGACAAAATGTCTATATTAAAATCAGCTGAAATAATATGCTTCGACCCAGAAAATTTACCATATAAGTGTAACAAAAACGATTCAAATAGATTAAAAAACATACTAATATTAGAATCAGGAGTTCTATACAAAGTGGAAACAACTACATTATCATTAGGTAACAAAATGGCAGTAACTTCAAAAATGCTGTCACAATAGAATTGTTTCACATCTATAGCTTGAACCTCAATCCCATGCTTTACAAAAATAACACTTCCACCCCCTCTATTCAGTGAGTTATCCCTAGCACAAATATTACCCAAGTTGTACCCAGCAGGCATATACAAACGGGATTCTTCTTCAAACAACCAGTGCTCATTTATCGTTAAAATATCACATCTTAAACTACTTAAAAAAACATCTATTAAATTTAACTTATTTCTCATTGACCGGACATTACAGTGATATATACTAAAGTTTGTTGGTGAGAGTTCTATGGTTGACGGTCTAGTGTTGGTGGTGAGTCGTTTCCCAACAAAGACTCGGTGCCAGGTGGGAGAGGTTGTTCTTCATTTGGACTCGCTGGATGATTTTCCGTCTTCCTTGCCGTCACAGCCTCAGATATCTTTTCAGAGAGCCATTTTTTCCCTTGCTGGTTTAGGTGAAGACCCTGACGTGTGTGCGAATGTCTTCCAGCATTGCTCGCTTCCACCAAGATGACATTGCTGTATTTTTCACTAAGTTCTTTTAATCGCTGGTTAGTTTTTCTTACTTCTTTATTAACACAAGACCAGTGTGGTCTTCCCTATATGGTCACCCTATAAGGTCACCCTATATATAAAGGTACGTTTTTTAGGTTCTCCTCCATGAATCGTATTTTGGCGAGCATTTTGTGGTGTCAAATGAGGTAGAATCCCATTTTAAGCTGCATATTTAGTTTCCCCACCCTTGTAAACATTATAATCGATATACTACACCCTATATCTAGCAAAAATGTTTTTAACTGTTTTTTTCTAGGAGCAATTTATATCTAAATTTAAATAACAAATATCAGGTACTTCCCCAGGTCAGATTTCGGTAGAATTTTTATTGTGTTGTGTGGAGGTATAAAAGTAATAAAGTCCGTTGAAACCCCTTTTAAAACAATTTTGTTAAACTTTCACTACTCAATGACTGGACTAATAACTAGTGTCAGTATGTCAGCATGTCAGTATTATTTTGTATTAAATTCTTAAAAGAAAGTGGTCCAAAACTCCCAAATTTTAGCAAATATTAGTGATTGAACACATCCCTGTAGCTCCGAAGTTCAAATCACTGGGCTAGTAACAAACAAAAGCATTGACTATTTCACCTGCAGACTTTTACACTAATGTAAACATTCCATCTACATGGACCAGCTGTAGCTAGCTTTTTTACTCAATGTGAATCATTATTGAATAAGCCTTATCCTTCACCCTCACCACAGTTGCCACCCCACTAACAACTAATTTGCAGAAACAATACACTTACTGTGTGCGTTCTCCCTTATATAGGCCATCCATTCTTGTGTGGTCCTTCGTGTTGGACATTTGATCACTATGTGCCTGAACAGAATAACAAGCATAAATATCTGCTACCAACCCCGTGCTATGCCAGGCTAATTCAGTATTGTGATAGCGATATCTAAATGTTTATGTATTCGTCGTTTTTATGTTCATGTTGTGTTTTTTTTTAATTTTGTGTTTTTGACGAGTTGCAAGCTTAGAAAATTTTGTCTTCCCAACAAAACATATAAGCTATTTGATCGTTGGACTATTTGACGGGGGTATGTAAAACATATTTTTGTCCTAACAAGCTTAAGTTATCTATCTGTTTACATACATAATAAAATAAGTGTTTTCTCTGTAACATCTCTTTTTCACCTATCCTACTTTAACGATTTCTATGATTGAGGTTTCATCATAAAGCTTATGATCTATCGCAGGGATGAAAGGTATGTAAAACGTAATTTCCTTTAGGGCTTAGCCCCATAGCCTTTGATTTATTCCTTGCTGAAGCTTTCAAAGTCCCAGTGCTGCTAACCAACTTGTAACAGTTTTTTTTATATATTTTTTTATTTAGCAGCTGATTAAGAGTTGAGTTTTCAACCTCAGTCGGATTGTAAACAGGAGACAATCAAGTTTATGAAGAATGGATTCTAAATGTGCTGTTTTGATTGATAATTGTAACATGAGTGAGGTAGGTAAATTTTGGTGTATATCTACAATTGGAATTGGCATATAGTAAATTAGTAGTTTTGTTCACATAATAAGTGTCTTAAACTAACAAGCAGCAGATAAAGATATTCAGGGCATGCCGATTTCCTGGCCACAGATTTACTGTCTAAATCATATTAGGCCATACTTAAAAATTGAATAACCCTCAAATGTTATCATTTTTCAGTTTTCAAAGTATAAACTTCATGGTTTAAACTATTTAAAAATGTGTGTATAACACACTCAAGATGACTGAATAAAATCAAATCATTTTTGACAATCAATCAAATCTGACTTGCTGATGATTCTGTCTATCAAATTTTGGGATAATGTAATGACTTCTCTTAAACTCAACTAACATGGCAGTGTAATTCAATTAACTAGTGATCACAGTTGGTGAATTGTTGTGACATTTAGACTGACTCTAAATATGATTAAAAAAGACAGAAGCAAACTAAATTTTCACCTGCTTAAATTAATTATGTGTAGCCCTCTTCTAAGTCCGGTGGAAAAAATGCCTGAAGACACTTCAAAGTTGGTATCATACAATATGACACACTTGACAGACCCGTCTCTGGGCCGGATGTAGGCTATGAAGGAGTCCTTCACTACAAGCCAGCGACGACGCCACGAGCCACACACATCACTGCATAGATAGTTGCACCTGCATGAGAAAATCAACACAATTATTCAATTTAATTCAATAAAAATTCCTAGATCATGTCAATTTTTAAAACTATGTTTGCAGTTTAATGCCAAAAGCTCATTTCTACACTTTTTCCAACCATAAAACAGTTGTTAACGTTAACTATATTTATTATACACCCAAAATAACCCACGTATATGGTACCCAAGTATATGGTTACCAAGATGTTGGTATTGGTAAGGGAAAGGTCTAAAACCTGGTGTTCTCACTATGGCCTCAGGGCCCAGAATCATGTTGCTTGGAATCAGACCAGCAGCCTACAGATTTTAAATAGAACCATAACACTAAAAATCTTATAAAAATATTTTTAAAGGAGCAAATAAAAAATAATCATGTAAAAATATGTTTTAAAATATAAGGAACACTTATCTAAGTGTCTTTGTTTGATTCAGATGTTACAGTCCAAATGTTCACTTTTGGTGATGGTGAGTTTTTGTTATTGTTTTGTTAGTTACAATCACAATGTCTATGTTTTCAATAATCCCTTGAATAAAAACACAGTAACAGTGGTTTAGACAATGGGGGGGGGGTTAGGGGGATATATCCCCCCCTTGAACCTATGATTGGTAAAAAAAATTGTAATAACATTTTTAAAATAATGTTTTAACGTATGCAATTAAATAGTGAATCTTTTTTTAATTTTACTTAAATTGTATTGAGCCTGTTTTTCCTAAGTATACTTTCAATATCAATATATCGTAAATAAACTGAAATTCCAGTGGCAGTACAAAAAATTTACGGGAGATGTTGTTCAATTATATTGCCTACTATTTTTTGCGACGAGTGGCAAATACACAATCCGATACTCTAGGCTGCCAAAACTAAGCAGCGTAGTCGTCAAACAGGACAAAATGTGGCAGGGGGATGTCAAGCGACTCGGCAATTTCCCGTTTGGCCTTCAGGTTCACACAGTTTGTCTCTAAGAAAACCAGCCTCATTGTTTTATAGCCACACCTCGTGTTGCGGACATCATACATCACTAATTAGGCAAACACAGGCGATGATCAGCCATTGAGTTCAGTATACGTCACATAGCAGTGGTGGTGTAAGCAGTGATAACAACAAGGTCTGGGACCGGCTGCCGTATCCGCACAAGACAGTTCCACCGAGCCATTGGTAAATAATTTTGTTACTGACCTGACACAGCAGCCGTTGTTGAGCAGACCGCAGCAGTTACAACCCCGGGCGCCAGGCTGAGCACTCCGTGTACGCTTCAGTATCTCGCCCTCCTTCCCTTTCAGCCCGAGTCCAGCGACAAAAGAAAGCTGTGACACTTCCAGGAAATTTGTCTACATAATAAAAAAAATTTACAATATTAATAATATTGATATTATTACAGTAATAATATTAAGTAACAAAATATTATAATTCCCCTGCATCGAAAATAATTGCTTGTTGAGCAATCATCGCTACCAAAAAGTGAGCAATTGGCTCCATACCACAGAAAGGTTGAAGCCCAAAAGTGCAATAGAAAATATTTTATCACCTTCAAATAATGTTTTGGAAGAGTTCTTTCAAAACTGTTTAAGTATATTGAAGAGTATAATTTTTTTCCATACAGGGTGAATTTTCTTTGCTAATTAGTGATCATGATATCCTAAGAGTCCTTGCATAGTTTAAATATGTATGGAATGTTTAAGGTATGGAATACAGAATATTTATTTATTTACGTGTTTACATAAGGGCAGTGACAATTTGTGTCTAATTTACTCAAAATGGGTGGGCATTTCCTTTCTGCAAAAGGGTATGTCGGTTAAACCAGATTTTAGGCTTATGAATTTAAATGATAGTTTTGGGCTCAAAAGGTACATATTCTCAATAGCAACCAAATGGGTACTCAAAGAAAAAAAAATTAACTGTTGTAGCAGTGGTAGTTTTAGTTTTATATGCTAAGGCAAAATTGTTGCCAAAAACAGTATATTGTATCTTAAAAGAGCTAAACACAATAAAAAAGTATATAAACTTGTATATTGATACTTAGAAGAATTTAATTATCACCCTTTGATCTCTTCTTCAAAACAACCATTTAATTTATAAAAAAAATTCTCTATATGTTTTAGGGTACAACATTAGCGCCATAGACAAATAGAGTAAATATAGACTGTCAAAGGAAGATTCCGCGATGTGCCACTCCGCTAGAGCGTGCTCGGTGTTCAATTCGCTGCTGTCGTCGGCTTCTCGGTGTATGCTACCAGCAGACACTGCAGCGGTGTGCGCCGTAACTACACGGCACTCCTAGTGGTGGACACCAGAACATATGCTAACCGCAGCAATGCTGTCAGTCTATATTTAATTCTTTTTGTCTACGTTAGCACTCAATTGTTGTTAACATTAATATAAAAAATAGGAGATTAATTTGGAATAAGCCATTAATTTGTTTTATTCATCATTGCCTCCAGGATTGATTATTGACAATAATAATGGTTACATACCTTACGTCGTCAATCCTAAAATAAGTCTATGGCGACTAGTTTCGAAACATCAAGGTTTCATTGTCGAGCCTCTTGCCTTTTAAAAACATTGTGACATCTTGTCGTCGTCATTATACACAGTACATTTAACATAAACACACGAACACGGACACATACTATTTACAAAAATGAGTGCGCGGCCGGCCATAAGTACCGCGGTGACGGACACGATGCAACTAACCGACTCCTGTCTGTTGACATTGACCTTGGAGGGGGTGAAACAGCTGATTGTGAGCGCTTCCGTTATCAATGTCCTCAATCCTATCAAATATTATATTACGGCCAAAATTGAGTTTTTCATTTAAAATGTCGTGAGGATGTTTTTTTGTTGCTTTGTAGATTTCTAAGCTTTCTAGAACATTCATTAAAGAGCCTTTGGTGCATTTGTGTAGAATATTCAAGCTATCATTGCAGCTATTAACGTTGTGGTTTTCGTTAATCAGGTGTTCGGCGAACTTGGAGTGTTGAGTTCTCAATTTAGGTTTAGGAAGGTGTTCGTTGAACCTTTTCTTGAACGAACGACCTGTTTGTCCTATATATATTTTAGGACAGTCGCTGCAAGATAGTTTATATACTCCAGTGTCCTCAAGGCTGTTTGAATTAATTTTTTCGGTAGTACGTGGATTTAGGAGGCTTTCTAATTTATTCGAAGTTTTGCAGGCTAAAGTTACGTTATGTTTCTTCAATTCGTTTTTTAGTGTATAGTGTAGATTGCTACCATATTCTATGGATATAAAGTTTTGGACGGGTTTTTCTGTTTGCTTTCTGTTTTTTTGTTTACGGATGATATTATCGATAATGTTACTGTTATAACCATTGTTGACGGCTATGCACTTTAATAATGTGTATTCATCATTGTAGTCTGCTTGGGTCATGGGTATTTTTAGAACTACAATCCAAACCAATCGAAGAATTCATAACAAACCACATATTTTTTCCTAGAGTAAAAAATTGCACAGACATAATTTTTACTGAACCTGAATTGAACGTTCTTAATAAAGGACTAAAGCACAACACCTTAAATGGTAATTGGAACAAAAACCTAACTTCCGAACTGTTAAATGCTGAGATAGCCATTAGCTCTATCAAAGACGAAAATTCGAAAAATTATGTCAGACAAATCATTGACAATAAAGTCAAATCAATACTGAATCGGAATAAAAATAAAAATAAACATCTCTTGAGTGATATAAAAACCATAAAATCTATAAAAGAAAAACTAATCACCCATGAATGTATTGCAACTAAAGCTGACAAAGGGCAGTGCATTGTGATCATGAAAATTGACGATTACAACAACAAAGTTTTAGATTTCATAAACAATAACAATATCAAAGAAATTTCTAAAGATCCTACCGACCTTTTTCACACAAAAATAAAAAACGCTATAAATAAATCACAACATATCATCATTGGAGACCGAAGCAACTACCTCAAAATGATTAAACCTAAGGCCCCAACATTGAGGGGATTGCCAAAAATACACAAAGAGACCATGCCTATCCGACCTCTGGTAAATTTCACCTCAGCACCTTCCTACAAAATTGCAAAGGTTCTAGACAAAATTCTTAGAAATAACATCAAACTGAACGAGAACCATAGCCTAAAAAATAGCCTAGAGCTTATAGATCTGCTGAAAGATATTAAAATAGAAAACCGGCATACTTTAGCATCACTGGATATTGTAAACTTATACACCAATGTCCCAATACAGGAAACGTTAGAGTTAGCTAGAGAAAACCTGTCTACTAACTCCCAACTAAGTAATGACGCCATCAATGAATTAATATTCTTATTGAAAACTACATTAGACCAGAACTACTTTACTTTTAACGGGAAATATTACCTACAGGAAGAGGGACTTGCTATGGGCTCCCCGTTATCGAGTGTGCTCTCCGAAATATACCTCAATAGTTTTGAAAACAAAAATATCCTCTCCGACAGCAATAAATTTTCTAAGAAAATATTGTTCTATAAAAGATATGTCGATGACACATTTTTGATTTTTAATGGCAATCCAAGGCAACTACAACTTTTGAATAATTACTTGAACAATATTACTCAGAACATCAAATTCACGCTCGAAGTCGAAAATAATAATTCAATCAACTTCCTAGATCTCACAATGACCAAAAATAACAACAACATTGCTTACAAAATTTACAGAAAGCCTACAACAACAGACCATACCATCCACGCATCATCTAATCATCCACAATCCCATAAGATGGCTGCTTACAATAGTTTTGTTAACAGGCTTCTAAAAATACCCATGACCCAAGCAGACTACAATGATGAATATACACATTATTAAAGTGCATAGCCGTCAACAATGGTTATAACAGTAACATTATCGATAATATCATCCGTAAACAAAAAAACAGAAAGCAAACAGAAAAACCCGTCCAAAACTTTATATCCATAGAATATGGTAGCAATCTACACTATACACTAAAAAACGAATTGAAGAAACATAACGTAACTTTAGCCTGCAAAACTTCGAATAAATTAGAAAGCCTCCTAAATCCACGTACTACCGAAAAAATTAATTCAAACAGCCTTGAGGACACTGGAGTATATAAACTATCTTGCAGCGACTGTCCTAAAATATATATAGGACAAACAGGTCGTTCGTTCAAGAAAAGGTTCAACGAACACCTTCCTAAACCTAAATTGAGAACTCAACACTCCAAGTTCGCCGAACACCTGATTAACGAAAACCACAACGTTAATAGCTGCAATGATAGCTTGAATATTCTACACAAATGCACCAAAGGCTCTTTAATGAATGTTCTAGAAAGCTTAGAAATCTACAAAGCAACAAAAAAACATCCTCACGACATTTTAAATGAAAAACTCAATTTTGGCCGTAATATAATATTTGATAGGATTGAGGACATTGATAACAGAAGCGCTCACAATCAGCTGTTTCACCCCCTCCAAGGTCAATGTCAACAGACAGGAGTCGGTTAGTTGCATCGTGTCCGTCACCGCGGTACTTATGGCCAGCCGCGCACTCATTTTTGTAAATAGTATGTGTCCGTGTTCGTGTGTTTATGTTAAATGTACTGTGTATAATGACGACGACAAGATGTCACAATGTTTTTAAAAGGCAAGAGGCTCGACAATGAAACCTTGATGTTTCGAAACTAGTCGCCATAGACTTATTTTAGGATTGACGACGTAAGGTATGTAACCATTATTATTAATTTGTTTGGTAAGAGACACCTTTGTGTATGCTTTTACTTTATGAAAGTCTAAACATAACCATAACTCTGTATACTTTGAAGTATTAAAGCCTTTAAATGTTGACAGACATATAAAAGTGCAAACAAATGACAAACAAACACTGTGCTTACAAACTAAAAGAGATGCTAAAGATTTTGAGAGTAGCTATTTACATGTGTGCTTTTACTAAGAAGACATAACTAATTTACAATTACAACAATTTCAAAACAACACTACTCAACCTTAACCAAAATCTACAGTCAAAAAATCATAGGGCATAGAACGTTTTAACCTCAATCAAGTACAAAATAACAATAATTAAAAATTATATGAGTAGAACTAAGTGCAGCAAATCTGATAGTACAAAATATAACCACATTCTACAAAACACAAAATGCTGTATTCATTTACATTTGGGCTGACAATGTAAGTGTACTCACCAAAATTCAAATTATGCCAGTTTTCTCTATAAAATTAAGGCATCTCGATTATTGACATAACTAATTATTAAAAATATCATTCTAAATTGTGTTAAGTTCAATAACTGGATAGAAGTGTTCGAAGTGAAAGTACAAACTTAAAAAATGTTACTCTTTCAAAGGTTTATAGAAGTATATGCAGGACTCTCTTGTATAAAATTGGGCGAAAACTGTCCAGTTAAAACTGAGGGCTAACCTTTGTAACAAGATTCTTACAACAATTTAATTAATGTAATGAAAAATCAATTTTAACTAAAACTAAATTACATAACTATTTTACTTTTCAAACTTATAATAGGACATGAATTTATTTCATTAGTACAATTGTAAAAACATCATAATTCAGGCATAACTGTTTCCATATTGAATTGAAATCTAAAAAAATTTAAATAATGTTATTTTTCATGGTCAAATCTAAACTGACCATGAAGTTTTGTCTTTCTCTGTACGTATTATCAAGTGTTTTGTTTTCTAAGTGAGTTTTACTTACAGTTTCATGGTGGTCTCTGTATAAAGGGATTTTCAAGAGATTGCGAAGGTATTCTTCCAACTGTCGCATGCGGTTTTCTATCTGCTCATCTGGGACCAGAGCATCAGGTTTAGATGGGAACCTAGACAGTTGGTATGGTTTTAAAATATTAAATTGCCTTAAGCGGCCCACACACTACACATGGTACGCCGTGCCACCACACACTTGAGCTTTAGTGAGCCTGCGAGATGCTGTTGTCCACACCGATCAGAGTTATGCTTTTATTTTGGTAGCATTTTGCGGTCAAAAAGTTATGGAATAGTGCAGAAGAAATTTCTGTCGCCCATGAAGAGAGGAAGAAACCCACAAGAGGATGTTAATATGGACCAAAGGTTGGTTGAAGCAGAAAGAAAAGTGTTCTGACTACTGAGAGAGCTACGCAAAAACTGCCTTAATAATTAGAGAAATTAAATGCCAAGTTGTTCCAAAGACAAAATGCCGTCCTTTCATTCGCTTTAAATATCATGAAAGACCTATTCTAGCGTCAAACCTAACCTCAAAAGTTGTTGAACTACTATCACGTGACGAGGGTTTGCCTACACACTGCATGTAAGCACGGCGTGCCAAAAATCAAACTCGCCTTATTTTCACCGTGCCATGCCAATGCATCCCAAGCTTGAATGGTGTTCCCCACACACTAGCGTGTTTCAACTGTTTTTGGCACGGCGTACCATGCATGTGTACAGTAGTGTATGGCCCACTTGAATTATTATGTCTTTTTAACACAAATCAGTTTAAAATATAGTTAGGCCTAACATAAATTAGAACAAAAATGTTCAAATTTGTACATACTATATTTACACTATTACAATGAATATCTTTATCGATTGGTACACAAATTCGTCATAAAACTTAGTATACATTAATTTAGGAGCTGATTTTTTTTAAGTTCCAAGGGAGATGCCAAGAATTAGTTATCGTGTATTTTCATTTCCAACCTCTCTTTCCTACACACACAAAGTTGTTATAAAATCTAAAAAATGTCATTTAATATCCTTGAAAAAAACACTAAAACCACATTATAATCCACTTGCTAGGGGGGTTCCCGTGTGCATTTTATGTATAGAAAAACACCCTAAGGGATCATGTAGGTACTATGTGGGTAATCATTTTTCACGTGGGTGCAAGCATCGCAGAGTGGGCATAACCTCAGAATCCGCCATTTTAAAAATGGCGGCGGCATTTATTACACGAAACTCATTAGGAGCTTATATCTCGAAAACGGTAATATATAGCGAGTTACTTTTATAACAATAAATGTTGCTTACACAATAAGGAACAACTTTTGTATTTACAAAAATGCCCTAAATATAACTATTTAGGAGTAGTTGAGCAATTTATGTTAATTTAACCTATACATTTTTACTTTGTTTGACCAAAAAATTCTAATATCTTTAAAAAAATTAAAAACTGTTTTTTAAATTTGGCACATAGCACTAATTGCTCTTTACACTCTAAGGTCTAAATACCCCCGTCGCAGCAAACCTGCAGAATCAGTAAACATTTATCTGGCTGCATTTCTACTAAAATATTAACATTGACAGATTGATTTCCTATTTAAATGACATTGATTTGTAATGAGTACTTAAGTTTGCTGCTTCAGGGAAGGTATTGAGGTGTTTTTTATATATTTTTATTGAAATAATGTTGATAGCTTAGTACGAATGAAACAACATTTTTTACATTTGACTATAATATATCCATAAACAAGCAAACTAAAACAGTTTATTTATTCTCCATAAGAATAACATGGGAATTTAAAATTTAAAAATTTTTTTTAAATTATCTCCGTAACTTTTGGGCATACGACGCTTCAATATACAAAGTTATTTTTTTTTTTAGCTCTACAAAATGGTTTTGTTCATTATAAAATTTCGTGTTTTTAGGGTCGAAAATCGGAATAATCCATTTTTACCCCATTAAACTCCACATAAACCCCCGTTCCCATAGTCCGATCGTGCTGGTTTAATAGTTCGAATTCGTCTGAAAACGTAGGTTTACACGTTTGTGATAAATTTAATCAAAATTGGATCATTTTTGATCGAGTTATCAAATTAAGTCGTAGTTCTGTCTTCGGATACAGATGTCGTAGTGTTGGCTTTACACTTTATGAATGGATTCACTTCGGAAGGTTTGCAGGAATTGTGGATGCGACGCCGTTTTAATAATAAATGTTATGAATTATAATAATAATTTCTATTACATCCGTAGATTTATTATTATTTGTAACAATAAAAATTCAGTATAAAGAAAGGTTTATATTTATTTTTATATTTGTATGTGTCATTTAATAAAAAAAAAATTAATTTAAAAATATTTTATATTATTTTAATAGCTTATATATCTGCCAGAAGCATCTCAAATGCTTTTTGCAGGGTTTTTTACCTTAAATGCGAAGAAAAAATTTTTGCTATGTGCCAAATTACAAAATAACAGCTTTTTTATAATTATTAGATTTTTTTTGGAACAGAGATAAAATGTATAGGTTAAATACTATGAATATGACAATTTTAGCATTTTAGTAGAAATGCAGCCAGGTAAATGTTTGCTTAGTCTGCAGGTTTGCTTTGGTGGGGGTATTTTGACCTTAAATATAAAGAGAAATAAGTGCTATGTGCAAAATTAAAAAGGAACAGTTTTTTAAAGATATTAGAATTTTTTTGTCAAACAAAGTAAAAATGTATAGGTTAAATTAACATAAATTGCTCAACCACTCCTAAATAGTTATATTTAGGGCATTTTTGTAAATACAAAAGTTGTTCCTTATTGTGTAAGCAACATTTATTGTTATAAAAGTAACTCGCTATATATTACCGTTTTCGAGATATAAGCTCCTAATGAGTTTCGTGTAACAAATGCCGCCGCCATTTTTAAAATGGCGGATTCTGAGGTTATGCCCACTCTGCCATGCTGGCACCCACGTGAAAAATGATAACCCACATAGTACCTACATGATCCCTTAGGGTGTTTTTCTATACATAAAATGCACACGGGAACCCCCCTAGCAAGTGGATTAATTAAGCCTACTGAAAATAAACAACTGCAATGAACAGTATGAGTAAATTTAATTGTAAAGATTATAATATGTGTATCTTGTTTTTTGTAGTTTTTTTTATCACGTAATCACCATAATATCTCATACATCAAAACTTAATTGTGAAAGAAGCACACAAGCAGAGTGCAGTAAAAGTATCAAAATATGGGAATGTTGCTGAAAGTCAACAGTCCCGGAAAATCAAATAATTTATACCTGTGCCGCTAGGTCAAAAACTACAATGTTTGCAGTGTCTGTAGATCAAAAATCACAGTAAGTCAAATAGTACAGTCCGAGCTAAAAACGTGGTCTATGTTAAAGCAATTGACTTATTGGGAATTTGACCTAATGCAACAGCAGTTTTCATAAAACTAAATACGGTAAAATACAAATTCAGTTTCGCTGAGTCAAAAGTGCCGGAAGATCAAAAGCAATAAAAGTGAACGTCGATTCAGTGTAAAGTAGACCTCCTGCAACGCTTACTACACCAACAAAACTCGCTTTTAGTTACTTCGTGTTTTGTCATAATTAGAATAAAGCTAAAATTATCATATTTGGTACATAGCTTACCTATTAATTCTTCTTGCCAACTGTTTGGTCAACACTGTAAATAGGTATAGTTTATGTAATGAAAAGCCTTTCGTCAAAATTTGTGGCATAAAATACACGCAAGGACGATCTGAAAATTTCTGGTTATTATATACGTTTGTAAAAGGAGATCCATTTAATTGTAGAACTATTTTATGAGTTATAATGTAGTCTACACATAAACTGTGTAAATGTATTACGCCTCGGAAGGGTTGAAACCTGTCCAAACTATCATATATATTATTAAAACGTAAATGAGGTTTTTCACATTCTGAATCAACCAGTCGACGGATTTTCATTATTTTTATGTTGAAAGAAAGATAATTTTGAGAACTAGGGAATGTCAAAGCTATAATTATAATTAAGGGTCCCAGTTTTTTAGAAATTAAGTTTTAATTTTTAAAAAGTCTAGCAGGCGACGCTTACCTTCTAAGCTCTTTTAGTACAATATAATTTGCTTAACATAACACCTGTAAACATTCAGCATTTGGAAACAAATTTAAAGACATATTTAGAGTTGACATATTTATACTATGTGTAATGCTGACCATTGATACATTCAATTCTTAGGTATGAGGATGGCAGATTAATTAAATTAAATATGCATAGTAAAATTGTAGGATGTTCAAATTATTTTTAAAGGAATCTTTATAATCATTGATTTGTTTTAGTCCCATATAATTTGTTTTAACTAACAGCTGGTTGAATGTAATATTGTTCTATATAACTATTACGTTTTTGGCGAATATCCCACATAGGGAATAAGCTATTACCGTAGTACTTATGGTAACACCTGGACCCGCGGGACCGATTTAATTTTTCGTTTTGAGGTCCCTAGAGGCCAAAAACACCAGCCGTTCAAATTCATATATACAGGGTGATCAACTCAAGGAGTCCACCATTGGGAAATCAGAAACGGTAAGAATTAGAGAAAACTTTAAATGGGGCACATACCTTTAATTTTTGTGGCAGTTAAAATATGATTTTAGTTTTTTATCATGTTTTAGGATAGAATATGCAATTTAAAAATTGCTTTGTTAGCTTTGACATTTTTTTGATAAACCCACTCGTTTAGGATTACAGCCTATGGAAAAATGACTTCCGGTTTACATTTTACATCATGTAGCTCCTAAACGAGTAAGTTTAGAGCAAAATTGCAAAAAGTAAATCAGTCTTAGAATTGCATCTACATTCCTTTAAGACTATAAAATAAAAAGTTTTCCACTTTTCAAGTCTGCCGCCATTTTTTTTAATAATATAATTCATATTTTTAATGAATTTTATGGTCTTTTTGGAATGTGGATGCAATTGTAAGACTTTTTTACTCTTCCCATTTTTGCTATAAACTTACTTGTTTAGGAGCTACATGATGTAAAATGTACACCGGAAGTCATTTTTCCATAGGCTATAACTCCTAAACGAGTCGGTTTATCGAAAAAATGTCAATTATAAAAAAAAAT